GCCCATATGTGTGTATTTGCTTAGGTATGCACTCATTCGAGTCGAGCAGAGACCTATTCAACACTTACTCTGCGCACACCGCTGAACTCTCCCCCCCTCCAATTTGTCAAACTGCTGTCAAAAATTAAAAAAAAAAAAAAAAAAAAAAAAAAAAAAACATTGGCCATCGCGATAGTTTGCTTCTCTCTACTCATTTGGCACAACATTCAGAGTTGCGACGAAGATCGATCTGTGTTTTGTGTGGAGGCACACATCATTCGTATTCCATCACTCGTCTTCCGTCTTTACCGCTCCATGCTTCCCTCCCCCTGTTTGGTAACGACTGCGCCGAACTATGGTGGATTACGACGACATCACACACACATTGCTGATTGAGAAAATAAAAATACAGTACGACTCGAATAGCCAGTGGAACAAGTTTTTTAAATATAGCTTGAGGAACCCCCACTCGTTTGTATACCCGGAGAGCACACACTTTGGTAGTTATGAGCGTGGACCGTCGTGCTTGTATATCGGATGGGCCGCCCACCTTTTTGCATATATTGTGTGTGCGTCGTATGGTCCTCACCTAGGGATAACACCAACGTTGACACGTAATCGCTTGATTCTTCTCTACACGTGATAAAAATGCGCTCCTCTCCTCCCCCGCAGCGCAAAATGCCGACTTCGATTACTTCCGTAGCGCTCTCCAGGCGAAGGGGTATAAACTGAACAACGTGAACCCTCTGAATGGCCGCTATGGAGAGGTGATTAAATTGCATTTATGGAGTGATCAATTTGTGGGCTGCTTTGCGTGGTGCGGCCTGGGACAAACCCAGCCTGTATATAAAAACGCACCTTTGGGCAGATCGAGGGGGGATCATTCTTCCCACTCACTCTCCCCTGCCCACCCGTGTGGTTACTCCGCGAAAAAGATTAAGCGTCACTTTTTTTTTTTTTTTACACCGTTAACCATCACATACGCGCAGGAGAATGACGAGGAGAGGTACCTACTGGAGGTAGAAAAACAGGAAGAGAAAAACCTAGGGAAGGATGAAGACACCCTGAATAGAAAAATCGTGTGCCTCTTCAAAGAGTGCATGTACTACTTCATGAGCTTCAACGATAAGGATGGGCAAATATTAGACAAGCCTTCCAAAAATTTACAAAAAAAAGATATAAAAGACAGTAGTGATTATGAACTGTTTAAAAGTTTAAGTGATTGTATTGTGCAACTGCATGACTCAAAAGTTATGAAGCACCAAGCTCTGATCATGACCAGTGACTTTTGTGGACTCTTCACTCCAAAACATATAAAGCTAACAAAATTCTCCGATGGCTTTCTATCCTTTTTAAAAGAAAATGATATAAAGTACGTGGACTTGTTTTATGAAGAAATGCAAAAAAATGAATTCTACAAGAAGAAGAAGGAACACTATGATTACTTGAAGAATACCTCTTTCGTCCCGCTCACCAAGGGAGAAATTTCCCTCGCCAACAAGAAAAGGAAGACTGAAAAGGTGTTACAGATCGGGGGAACGGAGACTGTCGGGCAGTCCCCAAGTGCGGGAGACGCAGAAGAGGGTGGAGTGGCCTCCACCCGCGGCGCCGTGCTGTTAAAGGAGGATGAAGGGACGAAGAAGAAAAAGACCAAGAAGAGAAAAATGAGGGATGATTCAGACAACGAGGAAAGTAGCGCGTGCGCACACATGGGCGGGCTTGTGAAGGGGGAGGAAGGGCAAGACAACGAAAACGACGACACGGACAAAGGACGCACAAGCAGTGGAGACAACCACAAGAAGAAGAAGAAGAAGAAAAAAAGGAAAGAAGAAGACAGGGGAAAAAAAAAAGTTAAAAAGAAGAAAAAAATGGAAACTCAGGAGGAAATCACCGCGGAAGGGGAGCAACAACTGGAGTTGGTTTTGTACGAAAATGAAGACATTTGCAATTACCTGAACATACGGAGCGAAGACAGGGCGTTGGGTCAGGGGGGACGCAACAGCACAACTGCCACAGGAGAGACGCAAAAGGACCAGCAATATAAAAATAATAATCAGTTTGCAAATGATATAACTAATCAAAGGAACACTCCCAATCAACACAAGATTACGAAGAACGCCAAAATTTTTCACATGCTTAACAAGAGAGTCGCATCCGATGAGTACATCTACAACGAAATAAAGGGGGACTTTATGAAAGAAATAAATTTACCAAATAATTACAATTATGAGGTGAATGCAGTGGAGATATGCGAGAAGGACGTTAAAAATTTCTACCGCTGTGTCCTCAAACACATCAGTAAAAGAAAAGAAAAATTAAAAATTTATTATATAATAAGTAATTTTTTATTTTTCTTTTCCAAAATGTATAAAAATACTATTAGCTTCCATGACAATGTTCATAAAGACATCAATAGGAATTTCGATTACAAAAGTCTCATTATACAAGGAAATATTTTGCCGCACAATTTCTTCCTCCTGCTTAAAGCACTTCACTTGATGAGCCTCCATGAGCTTATAAAAAATTTTTACCTCTCTGTAGAGTACGACGAAAGGAAAAATAAATGTCTTCATTTTTTAAACATAACTGAAAATAAATTTTATGAAAATTTTAAAAAATTTGAAAATAACATCAAGTCTAATTTTTCACATGTACATAAATTTCTACACAACATGATTCCAGTACATAAATATTTGATAGCAAATGGGAGGGTCTATATAAACTCTGAGCAGTCGACCTTCTCCTTCGAGAATAATGACCTTCTGCAACTGACTTATAATAACACCACGTACGACAATAAGGGGGCCCTTGTTGTTTACGAGGGAAACAATAACGATGATTGGGGTGAAATCACTAACAGGGATGATTCGCCTCATAACAGTAGCGCTGTGATGAATCCTTACACTGCATCCCATTATTTCTTGTATGACTCGACGAACACCCTAACCATGACCAAGAGACCGGCGCATGTGAAAAAAATTTACACCATAATTGACGACAAGGAAATGCATAAAGTGATGAATGAGCTAGCTGACCTGAATGATAATTATACAAAAAATTTAATTACAGACAAAAGACTTCTTTTCATTTTAGACTCCTATGAAAAAAATAACCTTTTCCAAAATGTACTTTTCAGCGGCACCTTTTTTGATGCATACATTTCCCTTCTTTTCACCTTTTATATAAATAATTACGTGAAAAAATATGAACCGTTCATGCACATCCCCCTGTTCAAGCCATCTTACTTGAACATGCTCGTTGTGTCTATCAAGAGCAGGAAGCGCGAGATGGAATTGAAGCAACAGAGCGCCCACGGGAGCCAACACACCGTGGACAAAATGTGTAACAACTTTTTCAGGAGCTCCCTGAACACTATTCTCAATGATGTAGCGGACGTCGTAGTGGAGGCAGCAGCAGACGCCGTAGTAGAGGCCGCAGCAGACGCAGTAGCAGACGCAGCAGCACACGCCGCAAGCAATATTGTCGTTAACGAGCGCGCGGCAAAAAAAAACCAACCCAGTGATACCCTCACGTGCATATTTGTCCTCATCAACGCTAACCAAAACGCCCCCACGGAGGAGGAAAAGAAAGTGCGAGAAATAACCTTGCATGTGCTGAAGGCCAAAGAAATGGAAAGTGCAAACCAAAAAATAAAATACGCCTTCAAATACAGAAATAAAATTAGCGACGCCATAACCCTAAGCGAGATACAAGTCCGTAAAGGAGATTTTTCAAAAATTTTTATTTTTGGCATTGTGTTAGGGAATGACATATCTGGGTCCAATTTACAAGAGGACATTCACAGTCTGTACAGCTTGCAAAGCACTCTACGGTGCAAGTACCCCTCGCGTAGATTTGAATTGGAGGCCCAAGTGTTTACCTTTTACTGGGTGTACGAGGTCCACGTGTACGGGTCCATTTTTCTCAAGGGAAGACAACACAGCCACGAGCTGTGCAGGGTCGGCGAGTACTATCGGCTGCCCTACAACGTGCAGGTGGGGAGAAGCGTTGTGAGTGTTCCGTTCACGTTCACGTGTCGGGAATATGCTGCTGTGTACGCGTTGAAGTGTATGTGTTTATCCGTGTGCACTTGGCTTCGCTTCACTTCCCTTCGCTTCCATTCACTTCGCTACATTCACTTCGCCCCCCCCTTCTGTAGTGGAAGAGCCACCCCCTGTGGGGCTACTACCTGTACATCATCCAAGACAGCATCGATAGCAAGTACTCGGAGCAGACCATCTCCACCCTGCGAGATGACCAGGGCATAAACGTGCGCCTCTGCAGCGAAGAGTTCGACGTTCAGGTGTTAGAAGAGGACATCAAACAAGTGCTTCACATGCACGACTTGGAATTAAAAGACCTCAAAAATGTTAACAGAAACATTTTCTTAAACATAATTTTTTTGATTGAAAATGGACACCTCACATACTTCAACTTCCACAACACGGAAAGCATACAAATTAATCAGAGGAACAATTATCTGTGCATAAAAATTTTTAAATCAAAAGTAACTTTTCCTTCCTTCAGCTTAAACACACCCCTGCTCAACGACTCATGGCTCTCCGATGTTCTTGCCAGCGAGCAGCCCCTCCCCTTTGACGACTACTTTTACAAATTCTGAAACTCCGGAGGTGAGAGGCTGGAACAGGGGCACTACCCAAGTGAAAATAGATTACACACATGTATAGGCCAATGTCGATGAAGCGATTATTCGCTCAAAGGAAGATGCGTCAATCTGGTGGGTTATATTAGCCCAAGTTGAAGTGCCCACTCTCCGCACTGCGTCTGCCGTCCCTACTTTTACCATTTGCAGGGGTTAAAAACCACCCCCATCCACCACCATTTCACCAGCCCATTTATTTAATTTCCTCCCCCCACGATCTGTCAATTTTTTTTTTATTATAAAACGGGCGGGGAAATCTCCCCGTTTGCGATAATTTGAAAATAAGCGTTTGAGAGCTGCCCACTCCGCAGGCCCGCTCTGCACCACTGTCCGTTATTTCACCAGCCCATCTGTGCGTACGTCCATTCATCCGTGCGCAAAAACACAATTTTTAACTTTTTTTTAAGTGAACAAAAAAAGAAATGTATTCGAAAACGGTTAGGAGTTTAACTCTTTAAAAAGACAAGTCAAGAAGCAAATGGGACAAAAAAAAAAAAAAATAATAAAAATAAAATGATGTCCAAATGGACACAACAGTGTGCAATTGTTCGCTTGACAGGGAACCGTTTGTGCGCGTAACAGGTTGCCTTTTTTTTTCTTTTTATTTTCATGTTGTAGAATTCTAAAAATTGGTCTCCCTTGCTAAAGCACTTGTTCACTTGTTCGTTGCAGCCACAGGGTGAGCCACCAGATGGGGGTTACTTGTTCAGGTGTTCTGCAAGGAGGGCAAAAAAAAAAAAAAAAACAGTCATATAAAACAGCCATATAAAAAAAGCACGTAAAGCAGTCATATACGCGCACGCGCACAATTGTAAGAACAGACGTGCCGAGGCACACACACACACACACACACACACGCGCGAGGCGCGCGGAGAACAAACAAAAGGAGCATTCTTAATATACTTTTTTTTAATGGAATTGAAATACCAATGTTATTTTTTCTCTTCATGGAATGACTCGTGGGCGCGACGTGGTTCTTCGAGTCTGCATTCACACCACTGTTACTGTGGCTTGCCTGAGGAAAAACACTTTTCTCTCCCTTATTGAGCAAGGACTTATTCAAAAAAGTTTTGCCAACGTCTGAATTTCTTATGACAGTATTTTGCCTCATGTTGTTAGCAGCGTTTTGTGTATCCCCTCCTTTCGTCTTAACATCAACTGATGAACTCATGCTTCTTTCATAATGATATTTTTTTTTTTTATCGACTTGAAAGGAAGGTAGCTTGGTATTACTAAGTGAATTATCCACTCGTTTCGTTCTGCTCCTGTAGTGATGGTTTGCTCCACTGTTGAAGGTACTACTACTGGCGTTGCTGCCCATGGCCAAGGACTCTGCATTTTTGCTCCTCGCAGCAATCAACGTAGGTTTCACGCTGTGAGATGCACCCACAATATCCCTCTGACTTTCATACTTGTTTATCAAATACTTTACGTTCGTTTTTGACTTTGTAAGGGGTCTCTTCTCGTGGTCCCCGCCACTGACATCTGCCACGCAGGACGAAGACCCATTTTGCCTGTCTCCACTAATCACACTACCCCCTCTGTATTCAGTCCACTTGTATTTCCCGTCGTTCGACTTTCCCCTTTTGAGTACACACTGGGGTTTCTCCTCTGCACTAACTATGTTTTCCGTGTGTGGAGTTCCTGACTTATGCTCAGTGTTGTACTGTGGAGTGTTACTTCTTAGTGTGCTTCCCCCTCTAGCTTTTCCCTTCATATCTGCATGGGACCCCTCCTTGGTAAGGTCGTTAACTCCGATTTGTGTATTACTTACCACCTGTGCGCTGTTCCCATGTCGGCCATCTTGTACCGTCTGAGGGGTGGACCCAGGGGGAAAACCTTGTCTTGCCGCTGACCCACATGATTCCCCGCGCATCGACGTCCTTTGCGTAGGGAAGCTTTCCACCCCATCAACATGTTTTCCTCCTTTACTCTCCCCTTCCTCTGCGCAGACGCTAATACGATAATCCGTTTTATTCCCTTTCGCATCCCCTTCATTCGGTATATTGTTATGACCACTATTAGGGCTATTATTTGTTTGTTTCTGCTCCGCTTGGTATTTACTTGGGTCGGAGTAAAAGTGGCTTTGCTTAGCTCCACTGCACCCCCTTCGTTGATGATCTGTGTGTATCTTCAGGAGATCTTCATTCTGGTCGCCTCCACGTTTTTTATGTGCTTCAAATTTGCTACTGTTAAAAATATTTAGGGGGTCCTTTTTATCGTACAGAGAAGTGGAATGATGTTTCTTTTCCCCAGAGTGGCTTTGCATTTCTGCCTTATTGACCATGCCTGAGTTGGACTCCCTCATATTAGAATCATATTTGAATCGCAATTCATTCATGTCAATATTTTCAACGGTTTCGTTTCGCACATAAATGCTGCGACTAATAAATGTCACGTCTTTCTTTTCCTTTTCGGGGAGGTTATTTTGGCTGCCCCTTCCACGCATCTGGTCGTTGCGCAGGCCGTGTTTATCTTCTTCCTCTTCTTCCTTGTCTTCCCTGTGGTCTGGTTTCCCCGTCTTGTGTCCATCCGTTCTCTCTGCAACATTCGTCGCCTCGCTGACCAAATTGGCTCCCTTTTGATCATCTCCTCGGTGAATCACATTCGTGTCGCTCCGCTTATCTGCTCGATGATTTTCTTCCAGTTGATCTGCTACCGGCTGGTCCTCCCCCCCACCACAACCTGCAGATTGCTGCTCCACTTCCTTTGGAATCCTATACATGGTACAAAGGAAATTATAATCCGACACAGGGTCAACATTCTGAATATCATCATGTACCTCGGTCTTCTCTAAATCGTTAATGTAATTCAAAATGGCTACCTTCAATTGTTCATATTCATTTGAGCTGTATGTGACTTCCTTCAGGTTAATCATTTTCAACGATTCAAGAAACTCTCTTTTCTTGTGCACTGCATCATCAATGGACAGGTCAAAATTGTTATAAATAATTTCAGAGTCGAAATTAGGATACTGACTGAAGACATTTTTGTACGAATTAAAAATGGGTTCTTCTAGTTTTTGCAAATTTTCATTCTCACGTAAAAATTTTTCAAACGAAAAATCGAGTCCATAAAATTCTGCTGATGTATTTACATTAATCGTTGGTACGCAATTCCTAACGTCTTTATTTAGCAGGAGCTCCATTTTCTCGTAGTAGAATGTTAGGTTCAGTGAGTAGTTTTTTTTTATTTCGTGATTTATATAAGCTAGTAAAATGAGCGGGTTGTTTTTTTTTATTCCATAAAAGATTAGTTGAATGAAGAAAAGGTACTTGGTCATAAAATCCATTCTGCTTGCGTGTACTTTGTTTATTTCTTCCCTCGAGTAGGGGGTCTCGTTTGCGTTGATACATGCTCCATTCGGCGCGTCCACACTGGGTTCATTGTCCACCTCCTGCGTGATGCTCGCCGTCTTGCTGGTTCCGCTCAATCGCACCTGTGTATTGCTACATCGCAATTGTGTATTGCTTGATCGTAGCTGCGTGTTGCTAGATCGCAGCTGAGTGTTGCTGCCCCTTCCCGAGTTGCTCACTTTGCCCGTTCCGAGACTTCCCCTGACCACGCCGAAGCCTCCCCTGGACCCGTTGCCACAACTCAGGGTGTCACTATTCCCCAGGGGGCAGCTCGAAGCCACTGCCCCGTTTCCAGTAGCCACCCCACCGTTGCCATCCCCGGCGATGGTATTCCCACCAGAGTGAACGGCACCCAAGTTTTCATAATAAATCGCGCGACAATCAAAAATGGAATGGTCTGAGTTCTCCCCAGGGAGGAGGAGGACTCCGTTGCCCCCTCCACCAGTTGCATCCTCGCTGAGTCTCTCACTGAGCCTCTCACTGTTGCATATCTTCTTGGTGTAAAAGGACCCCGAGTTAACACTTCCCCCTACCATGACTTCATTCTCTTCGCCTTCCATTTTCCTCTTCCTCTTGCGATCCCCTTGCATCCTGCCCAAGTAAATGTCATACCTGTTCAAGCTTAAAAATAAAAGGTGCAAAATCCTATACACGAAAGGATTGTCCTTCTGATCTTCCTCACAAATTTTATTCATAATCTTTTTATAAATTTTGTTTAATATTTTAATGTATGTATTTGTGTAGATATAAAATTCACTCGTATCGTTCAGATCGTCTAAAAGAATTTTTTTATTTTTCATCATGTCAAACCCTAGGTTTAGGGACACGTTACAAACATATTCGAGGAGTTTCGAGTGGCTTGTGAGAAATTCTCTCCCCAGCAGATTGTTAAGAATGCTAGTAACAAGACTTCTCGCGATGGACCCATTCTTAAAAAAATAAATGTACTTATTCGTGTGAATAACTTTGGTGTATATACTCAAACATACTATTGTGTTTATAAAAAAAAAGGAGAAATGATTGAAGGACAATCTTGAGATGCAACTTTTCTTCTTCATTAAAATGTCTACCAACAACACATTACTCAGGATCGCATTAAAATGAATGAAGGATGAATTTATGTCCTTGGCAAAACTTTTCTGGAACAGGAACCTCAGAGAGTAATTCGCCCCCTTGATTAGGGTTATGAACAAATTGAAGTTTTTAAAAATGTAGTTTCCGTTGTCCTTTAAAATAAAATTCCCGTTTTTGCTTTTCTTCCCGACCTGCACGATGTTGTCCACGATCAGCTTGCACACCTGGCGGGCACGCGGTGGAGAAGCGGTGAAGTGGTTAAAGCGGTGAAGAGAGCGAAGCGGGGGTCCACTTAGACGGGATAGACTGCCCGCACCTGCCAGCCACGCGTAAACGAAATGAAAAAAACGCCGCTAACGCAGACAGAGCAGACGGAGGCTCACCTTCGAAATGGTCTCCACATCATTGGAGTACAGGAAAGAAGCCAAGTACACGAAGCGAAAGTACACCAGAGAATTTTCATAACTGTTTGATCCCTGCACCTTCTCATTATTCTTAGATTCCAAAATGTGGAAAATTTCTTTATTCCTTGAATAGCTATTTCCCTCAATTGCAAATTTTAAATTGTTGGTGATGCTCACGCAAGATATTTGGTCGTTCATGTAGTCTTCATTTGTCCTGTCCATTTCGATTTCTTCGATTTTTTTTTTTACCTCTAGTACTTCCTCCACGTTTTTGCGGAACTCGTTTACGTGTCCTGTGGTGTTGGAGGGAAAGGGGGGTGAGGGGGGAGTCAGTGACGGGGAGACGCTAATACCCACCTGTCATCCAAACGGGACAGAAAAAAAAAAAAAAAATCACGTGGAAGACACTTACACGTGGCGCATCGCAAACGCATCGCAAACGCGCAGGGCTGACCCAACTCACCTTCCACTTCCTTCCTTATGGAGTTCCTCTTACTTGCATTGTTCTTCAAGTAGGTCGCCAATTCGTGGTTTTCCTTCTCCTTTGGGGCGCCTGAAAATTATACGTGCAGTGTATGGAAGGGACAAGCACGATAAAATAAATAAACCGAAAAAAATGAAAAAGACACAATTCATACAAAGAGGGGGGGAGTGGTATACAAAATAGCCAAACATTCAGACAGAGATTAAAAAAAAAAGCCGTGTAAATTTAATTAAAAAAAAAAAAAATCGCTAATATTTTAAGCGTTATACATGCAGCAGTGGTTGTAAATAATGGAAGTGAAAAAAAAAAAAAAAAAGGCACTTAGCATGATAAGAAAAAGCATGGAACATACTATAGACGATAAGCTAATGTACACGTGTGGACATAATGCACATGACACGCGATGGAAAATATAATTCAAATGAAGCATGCAGAGTCGGCTAAGACTCTTCATTATGGGAAAAAAAAAAAAAAAAAAAAAAAATTAATATATGTGTATATGTATCAATAAATAGGTGTACACGTGTGGATGTGCTCTTGGGTAATGCATATCGCCTCAGGGAGACAGTCCTCCCGCTGTGCATTTGCCTGGGTGCATACGACGTAGTGGTGAACGAGTCTGCTCAACATCGAACCCCTTTTGTTGTCCTCCCTTTATTATAACCACTACTGTGTGTTGCGTATTCCTTTTTTTGTGAGACATGTACACACGATGCATAATTATAACGTAGTAACTAGTAGGTTGTGCACACGTTCATAAAAGTTTAGACCTGAGGGCACACGTATCGATGCGCTGTCTTTCGTCTCGCTTATTCGTTTGGCATATTTATTTTGTTTGACTTTTTTTTTTTTTTTTTTTTTTTTTTTTTTTTTTTTTTTTTTCGTACCTTCGG